TTAGGGAAAAATAAACAAATAAAAAAACCCACAATAAATAAAACCCCTTATCTCTCACGTCCTAAAACTCTCTCTCTCTCTCTCTCTCTCATGTAAATCTCTTCTCCCTATTTTATCTTAATCTCTTTTCCCTATTTTTTCTTATCTATACGACCCTCCATATCTTTCCTTTATTCTTGCCATATCTAAATCCATCTCCATCTAAATCTCCTACCAAAATTACCTTTCCAAGCTTGGTTCCTATCTAATCTCCAAAATTATTTTAACAACTCACGTACCTCCTCCCACTTTACGTAAAGCCAAGCACCAAAATTCCCCTCCTCCCACTTTAACTTATCATATCTCTTTTCCTATACTTAAGGAAAATAAATAAAAGAATAATAAGATAAAAAATTAAAACAGTCACAATTTTATTTACATCAAAACAATGGAGTTTACATCGATCACATTGGCTTGAATCTTATGGTTGTGAAGAAAAGCTAGGATTTCAAGCTCTAATATATTGTATATTGTACCAAATTATCTAGACTGTCTATTTTGCACTAAAAATAAATGTTCATAGATCCACAAGATTTGCACTATTTTTTTAGTTTCAAATTTTATAGTTGGTGTTGAAAATTGATTTTAGAGTCTCATGACGATTTATGTTGCAGAAAGTGCTTTTAGGAGAAGGATTTAAGGTGAGGATTTATTTTCTTTTCATAAAGCCTAGGCCTTATAGAAACTTCATCCTTGTCAAAATGCACCCTAAAGTTGAACTATTTTAATATTTGATAGATTTCAAAAACCAGATTGTTGTGTCCACTGATGGGCTACTTTAAATTTGGGAAGAAGAATGATGGGCTACTTTAAATTTGGGAAGAAGAATGATGGGCGATTTTAAATTAGATAAAAAATATGGGTAAAGTTTGAAAAGTTTCCCAATAAAAAAATAAATAAATATGTGATTCCCCCATAAGAGAATTAATGGTTGTTCACAAGGTGGATTCCATTTTTCTTTTTCTTTTTTTGCCTATTTTAAAGATTTGATTGCTTATTAAAATGGAAAGTAGTTAACGAATTTTAGTTTTCCACTTAGAACCACTTGTCTATTTAGTTCCATGCCTTTTGCACATTTTATATATTTGTTGCTTATAAAGATAGAAAGTGGTAAGGGAATTTTAGTTTTCCTCCAAGAGGATCACTTCTTTTCTTTTTTGACAAATCCTTCTACAGGATCACTTATCAATCTATAAACTGGAATCTCAGATTTTGGAGCATTTCGGTTCTTTATGACTTTCCATTTTTAGTTTTCATTTTGTTGTTTATGTATTTTTGTTATTTGACTTGGAGTCAGCTTTGTTCGAAGTTTAGAGGTTTTGACTTCCAATCTCTTGGTATTGATGATCTGTGTACCCAGGGAAGTTTAACAAAAGGTTTACTCTTTGGAGTGATTTATGCATGGACCCTAAAATTTTAGGTAACACATAAAATGCTCGGTTATAGGTAGAAATTACAAAGATCTGTCAACCTATTTTTTAAATTTTTTTTCAAAATTGTCTTTCAGTCAACCCATATTTTGAATTTTTTTTATTTTTTTTAAATTTTATTTTAAGTTTTTCCGTTAGCAGAGCGGTGCACCAAGCTTTAAGGCACTACCTCATGAACAAAAAAAGTTTTTTTTAAAAAAATCTAGAAAATCAAAATTTGGGTTGACTAAGGGAAAAAAGTAAACTATGAAAGTTGACTAACCTTCTTTATAATTTCCACGTATAAGTGGAGCATTTCGTATTTTACCAAAAATTTATAGCTCATACGTAAATCACTCTATTCTTTAAGGGAAATATTCATAGAAATTCTATTTATTTTCATAATTTAAAATAGTACTATGTATTTGGTATTTTACACACATCCCATTTTTTGAGAGCATATAATATACATACATATGTAGTTATAGGGTGAGGTTTGTATAGAGCTGAGACTCTAAACAATAAAATTCGAGCCCACCTTCAAATAGTGTCAAGATGGTTTCAATATTGGAAATATTTGTGATAGCTTTAAAATATATTTTTATCTTTAATCATAAAATTACAGTTTCAAAAATAGTGTAGATTGAGTAGATCTATGAAAACCTGAAAATCTTGAAAATTGATGGTCCAAAAATGCATTACAAGATGCACTATTTCCAAAACTTGAAATCTATTTTTTTTTCTTGTTAATGCATCTTGTTATCAAGATGATCAATTTGAGGGTATTTAGACATTAAAACAACCTCTTCTAGTAAAATTTTAGGGGTAGGCTCTAATTTGATTATTTAGAGCCTAGGCTCTATATAAACTTATTCAATACTTGTGTAAACATTTTCCTTTTCTTAAACTATGCATTTGTTAAAGCTCAAATTTGGGTCATCCATACATCTCACAATAATGCTTATGTAATAATAAAAATACAAACTATTCACAAATAAAAATAACCAAAATACACCTAGAAGATTTATGGGTATTTTGGTTATTTTTCTTTTGAAAATACTTTTTGTTTTTATTTTTATAGGTGTGTGACGGTTAAAGCACGCACACCCAAATTTGAGCTTAATATGATGTGTAGAGAAAAAAAAAAAGCATTATAAGTTCTCAAAAGGCGGGATTTGAGAGCAAACTAAGAAATATTTGGGCCTATTTTTAAATTTCAAAATTAAATTAGGATCTTTATGTAAATTTTCCTTATTTTTAATAAAAGGACAAAGATTTAGTCTACAATCAAGAGGTGGGAACACTAGGCATTGTATTTCTTGATATTCCTACCTACCTTATGGGTACGTGGGCAATGGACCCGGGTCCGGGTATGGGACTAAAAATTGGACCTGACCTAGACCCAAATAGCGTTATTATTTAAATAATTTATAATATAGGAATTTAAATAATATCTTATATTTTTAGTTATAGTATTTAAAAATATATATATATATATGCAATGATTTCATGCAACGGTTGTATAGTAATATAATGCAACAATCTTCAAAAACTATGTTAGGGCTATTTGTTTGATCCAAATTTTAAAATATGCTCTTGTCATTCTAATGAATAATCATAAAAGATAAAAATTTTGAAATACAATTTCGAAAGTATTTTTGTAGCCCAATTAACATAGGCCATCCATTTTGATAAGATGCTTAGATGTAGGCTTTAGAAGAATTTTTTCTTTTTCAATTTCTTTAGATGGTTTTATTATTATTAGATGAACAATGTTAACAAAGAAAATAATAATTTTGAGCTTGTAAAGGCTAAGATCTTGAAATTCATCAAATGAATGGTCTAGATTCGTTGTTGGAGGGCACTCATTTTGACCAAATCTAGAGTTCAAATTGAATTTTGTTTTTTCTTGGGATTGATTATTGAGATGCAAAGAGTGTGTGTGCAAAATTTTCGGTTATACAAATACCACTATCATAGTTTTCTAGAAGTGTAGTTGCATTATATTATGATAAAACCATTACATTAGATCATTTTGCATATATATATATATATATATATATATATGGTCCGGACCACGACCACCGACACTACTTACCTACCTACTAGTAGGTAAGGGAAAACGTAAAACCAATTGTAGAGAGATTGGTAGTAATAGGAATGTCTTTCTAA